TGTGTATACTATATTGGTAATAATAATCAACGTATTAATTCTGTTTTATTATTATATCGTCATCACTATCATCACCATTATTCTTATTATTATTTTTATAAAGATTATTCGAATTAAAACGAGATAACATTTCATCAGTGATCTCAAATTTATTACATCCCCTATTCATTTCAATACACTGACTTGTAAGTAAAAGTCCATTATTCGAATTAAAACGAGATAACATTTCATGAGTAATCTCAAATTTATTGCATCCCCTATTCATTTAATTACACTGACTTGTAAGTAAAAGTCCGTTAACCGTCGCCAGTTTAGAAAGGGGAAGCTCTTAGGACCTACCTGAGAAACTTTCGAGAATCAAAAGAGCCGAGTTTGCCCAGCTCTGTTATAAATTAGAGAGAATTTGTATTTTTATGGAGTGAAAATACCCAGAGACTGTTCAAATGACCATTTGTTTTACTATTAACAAAAGATTTTAAGAAGGTAGAAAAACAAGGCAACAGGTTGGCAGAAACAAATATCATATTCCTACTACATATTACTATTTGAAAATATTTTTTTATCCCATAAACACGAATGATCGTACGTTTAATAGAAATTTGAATTACGATATCGTACATCGTATTTGAAGCAAAATTATCGTATGTCCCCATAATTATTGTACAGGCTGACAACGCTGGAGCCTTAGGTCAGGAGCACCAAGGTAAAGAAATAAGTGGCGAATTGTGGTAGTATTACGAAACTCTTTAGTAGAACCACAGATAAATGCCATAATCCTGGAAGCTTTACCAACTACAACTTCAACATGTTTAAAAAAAGATAAAAATTTAGTAAACAAAACGCCCATCTGGGAGACTTCATCAACTTTCAGCAAATCTAATTTATTAATTGAATAAACATATTGAAGAGGTAAAGCTAATCCTCTATAAAAAGATAACACAGAGTACTTCGATGTATTTATAGGTAAGGCATTATCTTGCGACCATCCATTTAGAGAGTCAATAGCGTTTAGTATTTTAACCACGTCATTGAATACAGTTTAATATCATATATTTGTCCGTTACCTCGGGGTACAGCAACAGCATTTAAATAATGTTAGTTATAGTTTTACAATAATTTTGAAATCTTGCGCTTGATCATGTCAAGATCAAATAAAACTAAAAA